TTTTTTTTTTTTTTTTTTGTATAATTAAATTTTGTGTTTGTTAATTTTGCTTAATTTTGTTCTTTGGCGCAGTTGACTAATTCTGTGTTGGTTTTTGTTTTTGCATTTTGTTTTAGTGGTTTGCTAGGGGATTCTGCTTGCTTTGCTGTTTACATATATAGATATCACGAGAGTTCCTGCGAGAACTGCGTCTCCAGGGTGGGTCTAGTTCTAGTTGGATTCCTGTTGGGATTGCGTATCGGTGGTCCTGGGCTCCCATAGCCCGCCGCATACAGCTGCGGGCACGAGTCTTTTATGAGTTCCTGCGTCTCGCGCAGCTGCCGCTGCACCTGCGGCGCCAATCTCTGCACGCTGATTGCCGGGGGAAATTTGTATTCCGTGGGTGGCGCGGGCTGCAGACGATAGAAATTTGTTAATAATATTTAATGGAGTCTCAAGTGGAGTTCATATGGATAACTGAATAGTCTTTGTTTTCGAGACGCCTCACTAACCCAACCCAATGTAATACCCACTGATCTCTGTGATCTTCAAACCGCCCAGTCATGGCCACGCCCACTCACCTGCACAGTGTGCATGACCTCGCCGTAGTAGGCGCCGGCTGCATTTGGCGGCTGTTGCAGCTGCGACGTTTGTGGCTGCAACTGTTGCTGCTGCTGTTGTTGCAACTGTTGCTGCTGTAAGTGTTGCTGCTGCTGCTGCTGCTGCTGGCTTTGGCTGTGTGGAGCGGTTTGTGGTTCGTAAGATTCGGAGGCGATGGGAACTGGAGCCGCTTGCTGGGCGACATTTTGGGAGGCAGTGCTCGGTACTCCGTAGTAGGATAGCTGCAGGGGTGCGCGACCGGCTGTGGCGCCGGCGCCATTTAGGAAGCCCGTCACGCCCGTCTGCATCAGCGGCGAGCTGGCGGCAATATACTGAACAGGAGCTGCGCAAACGGGCGGCGGGGGTATGGCGCCATAGAGCAGTCGCTTGGGACTGACAGTTTGAGGCTTGGCGCCGGCAGGAAGCGTCAACATATGCCCACCATACGTAGCGAGCTGTTGCTGTTGCTGTTGTTGTTGCTGCTGTTGCTGTTGTTGCTGATGTTGCTGGTAGAGCACCAGCTGCTGTTGCTGCTGCTGTTGCAGCTGATTGAGCTGCGCGGCGGCCGCTGCATTGGCATTGGACGTATTGACGAGATTGGCATCGAGTTGTGGCAGCAACTGCTGCGAGAGGATTAGCTGCTGCTGCTGCTGCTGATAGATCGCTGCCGCTTGATGTTGCTGCTGCTGCTGCTGTTGTTGCTGCTGTTGTTGTTGTTGTAGTTGCTGCTGTTGCTGCTGCTGCTGCTGTTGCTGTCGCCCCGCCATGACGTGCTGAGGTAGATACTCAGTAGTAGGCAGCGTGTTGCACGCCGAGGAGGGCTGCAGTAGATGGCCAGCGGGTTCTCTCGTACCGCCTCTCGCCTTGAGCGGCACTTGGGCCACCTGACGTATCGGCGTCGTCTGCAGCGAGCGGCTGGCGGAGGAGCATATGGATGCGGAGAGGCTAGCGGACTCCCAATGCTGTACCAGCGCATTCAGTCGTGCCTCCTCCAAGGCAATTTCCGTCTCGCTGGCCGAGTCATAGTCGGGCCCCTGCAAAGAGAACTGCTTTAGTCGAGTCTTGGCTTAGTGATTGGGTCCTGGGCTCACCTCGTCGATCTTCTTGTCCAGCATGCGAAAGAAGTTCTGTTGGCTTGATGATATTTCTCTGCAAGGTGCAGGCAGTTTTAGTTGAGATGGATTTTGGGGGGTTGGGGGGAGTGGCACATGGCACTCTGGATAGTTGCTACTTACTGGCTTTGGAGCAGCGACAGGTTTTTGGCACGCAGCAGCGAGACGGCCACGTCCTCCTCGGTGTCCTGTATGTCCTTATTGCTTTGTTCCTCGGTCTCGTCATGCTTCTCGCGCTCGCGTTGTTGCGCCTTCTCAGCATCCTCAATGTGACCTTCATCCTCATCCGTCTCAGCATCCGAGTCGGCTAAGCAAAGAAAATGAACGGAGACAACATATGTAAGTATTCATTAAGTGGAAAACTAAAGCAATAAAATGTTCACAGCGAGTGCCTGAAGGACATTTGGCGAAGTCATAGAAAAGTAGGACAACAGCTGAAGGCAGTTCAAGTATTCGAGATATCAGTAATGCTCATGAATCGAGGCGTAAACAGCTACGGTTTCGAATCCAAAATTAAAAAGTTAAGAAACATTCGCTTGAGCTGATATCCTGTCAAGGGACTCATCCTTGGATCATCTTCTTAAAGTCTGATTCGGTTCGTCATCCCTTTTCGAGGTACTTGGCGCTGCCTTTGGCCAATTTAATTAAGACGAGCCATGCATTTTAATGCAAATTCATCAGCCGCAGCACAAAAATACGATATGAATGAAAAACTTTATAATTAATCTAGCCATAGTCGAAAAAGGCGAGAGCCTGACGAACGAACCTAAGGCCATCAGAATTTGGGTCTTTTATGGCACAAAGGCGCCATTGTGTATGCTACACTTTTGTTAACCCGTTTTGAGCGCAGCCCAAACACACGAGCACCCACACACACACATACACATACATCCGTGTGTATATACATACACAAAGCGACATTCATGCACATACATAAATAGAGACAAGGGCCCCAAGGGGACCACACCCACACAACTGGTGCGCCCATTGCAACAACAAGTTGCCTTTTAGTAGTTAATTACACACACGCACACACATCCGTACTCACACACAGTCACACATACACACACGCAAAAGCGAGAGAAAGGCTGTAAAAACAGCAACAACAACAACCTGATGACAAAAGGCTCTCAGGGCTTTGCCGAAAACTTTTGAATGTAGGCTAGGGCAACAATTTTATTTTACTGTGTTTTATTATAAGCGCACATACACATGCACACACACATACATACGTACATACAGGCACACACGTGTTTATATTTAAGGCTTGCATGTGTGTGCAGCTTATAAGCCTAGTCTTTAGTTGGCAACTGCAGGGCCTAAGCCCTGCTGCTGTCATATTAATCAATGATGTCCTCATTGTGAAAACAGGTGGCTTACACGCACACCCACACACACACACACACGTGCACACAGACGCACCTATACATAGCTGCAAGGCAAATTGATGTCGTCATGCGTGTAAGCTTTTGTCATATGTGCCCATCTGTGACTGTGTGTGTGTGTGTGTGTGTGTCGTCAAGGCAAATAGACACAATCGCACACATGCAAACGCACTCACTCACACACACACATACATACAGTCATTCGTACATACATATATACATACATAGGCGCAACTCCTTTGATTTGCTGCTTACCGTGTCCTCCTTTCTTGCCGTTTGCTTTACTCTTCGATTTCCTGGGATATAAATGTATTTTGCTCTGCCCACAGCCCATTTTCTGACTGTGCTGCTGCGACTGCGGCTGCGGCTGCGGCTGCTGACGGCGTCGCTGACGTTGACGCTGACGTTGTGCTGTTGTGTTGCCTTTGTTGCTGTTCTTCTTCTTTTATTTGTTGTTTTTGTATGTTTTGGACTTATTTTGTTTTGTTTAATTCATTAATTTGTTGCTCGACACGTTCTGTGTAGTCTGCTGACGACCTGTATCTGCTGCCCTCGCTCGCTTGCTGGCGCGCTCTTTGTAGGTCTCTCTCTTTCGCTCGCTYGCCCTCTCTCGCTCTTTCCCGCTCTCTTTGTATACCTCTATTTTATTTACGTTTTTGTCACACGTCTCTGCTGTGTTTCTTCTTTTTTTTTTCTTTCGATTTTATTCAATTTTCACTAATTTAACTATGTGTGTAAATTTAATTTATTTGATTTCTGCTTGTTGTTGTTGCTGTGCGTGTCGAGATCGTTTTTTAATGCGACATCAACATCATCATCAAACAACAACAACAACAATCGTACAAAAATATCATAACAACAAAATGAAAACACATTTGCGAGAATGGAACATTCCACATTGGCCACTTGTTCAAGAATCTCATTTGTCGACTATGTCTACGACATAGTTGTTGCCTGCTCAGTCGACGTCGTGCGTAAAACGCCCACCCACCCCATCATTTCCAGATCAAACCAAACACACATAAACACAAATACACACACACACACACACACACAAACACGCATACACTGAGCGCATAAAAACTTTTAAAAGTAGCGGAAATTAACTTTTTGCCTTGGACCGTACCTAGCGACAGATACCGTTGCAAATACCGTTGCTTGGCCACACTGAACCACCCGGCCGACCCACTGTTGTTGTTTCTCCGACTGTGCGTGCGCGCGTATGTGTGTGAGCTTGTGTTTGTGCTTGTGTGTGTGTGTGTGTGGCCCCAACCACTTGTTTCGCTCTGTGCGAGCGATAAATTCAATTTGCAGCGTCAATTTGTAAACATGCACACGGCACCGCGGCACAGGACCCATAAAAGGGTTTGGCTCTAGGGTTGCCATACTATTTGTCTCACTACCGTAATTGTTGTTGTCGTCACTGTTGCTGCTGCTGTTTCTGTTGTTGCTGCTACTCCCGTTTCGATTTATGTTTCTGCTTGGATTTTAGCTTCTGCCAAGACGCGCGCGTTTTACAGCTTTCAACACTCGCGAGCGTTGTTGTTGCTTGTGTTGTTGTTGCTAATTTAAACAAATAACAATAATAAGCACAACAAATAATGCAACAAAAACACTTGAATTATATTCAATTATTCTCACATAGCGGAGCAGCAGCGAGCTGACCATAGCAGAGCGTCTGCCTCTTGCTCGCTCACAGTAAAACTTATAATAGACACACACAAGCACACACACACGCACACATACACCCGCTCATACACACACCCACTTGGGCAGGCGAATGGGGCAGGCAGCGAGGCGCCAAGTAGCCGAAGCCAACACACTCGTTCAAAGAGAGAGTGAGCGCGAGAGAGCCGCAGCGAGAGCGAGAGCAAGCTCCAGCATTGTCTCTCTCTTCCCGCTGCTTCTACTGCTTCTGCTGCTGCTGCTTCTTGCTCCTGTGTGCGTGCGTGTGTGTTTTTATGTGTGTGCGTGTGTTTGTGTGTGTTTGAGTGCGCGCTGCGTGCGAAATTGATTTTTCTATTTATAAAAAAAAATCAAAATATATCTGTATTTTCGTTTGTTGCGCGGCGTTCATATATATTTACTATATATACATATATTTTTTGTATGGATTATTATTTTTGTTGCTGCTGCCAAAAACATAATTTATGTTTTATTTATGATTTTCATTTCCCATTTGGCATTTTGTATTCAAGCATTTCGACGTTTCGTTTTCATATTCGTTTTAACGTGTGCGCGTTTTCATAGAAACTTGTTTGATTTATACGGAGCGCCACTTGGGCACAACCATCACTCGGCCCCAGCGAGCAGCGTTTTTCAATTTCGATTCCGGAATCACAAACAATTTGTTTAGCGGCATATTTTGCTTGTGCCGTGCTGCATTTACCGCTTACTTTTATTTACACAATTTGCTTTAAGACTAAAAGGAACTTTTGCGCATCAATTTTCATTGTATATTTACACTCGGTTCTTTCATTTTTATGGATTTTCTGCGGAAAACTCGCCGAAAAAGTTTTCGGACTGCGACGCGTCGCTTGTGTGTGGAATTTTGTATGCTGAAATTTATGCTGCTTGACACTCCTCTTTGTGTCACACAGCACTTTTTGTGCTTTTCTCAATCGGCAGTGGCAATAGCGAGAGCGACAACAAGAGTGTGAGGGCGACAGTGAGAGAGAGAGAGCGAGAGAGAGAGCAACGACAACTGAGCGGAGCGCAGCTTACATGCCAACACACATGCCAAAGCATGGCCAGAGAGCTTTTATGCTCAAGACATCAAATCGTCTCTCACGTCTGTGCCAAACACAAGGGGTGGGTTTTTGTTTCTCGAGTGATTGAGCACTTTTTGTTGCTGCTGCTGTTGTTGGGTGGGGGTTTGTGTTCTGAGAAGCTTTCAGCGCTACGGGGCATGCTTTTCGCTGCTTGAATGAAAGCTGAAGTCCAATTCTGATTTGCTTGAAACTTAAAGCTCATGCTTTGTAAGCTTTTTGGTAATGCGCATTTGTGCTTCACAAAAGCTTGAAGAAGCTTTTCGCATGTAGTTGGCAACACGCAGCTTCTTAAAGTTGATTTTTCAACCCCAAGCATAAAGCTTTTGGCAAAGAACAGATAATTTAGTATAGTGCAAAGTCCGGGAAACTCTTGTGTAATTTATATTAAAGAAAATCGTCGCTTTGTCATGTTCAGTATCATTATTTTGCACAATCTGAGCGTCCAGTGTGATGCTCTATTTCCGCTGGCAAAAACAACAGGGTGAACAACCCCCTAATAACTCGCCCCTAGGCCCACATGAGATATGCCGCTAGTCTGTGGCCATTATGCGAGTTTGCCATGTGAATTTATTGCATAATAATGAAGTGAGAAACGTTACAAATCAAAACACTCGACGGCCGTCAGATAAAGTTCAGATGTCCTGCCCTACTCTATGCGTATTATTTTATTTTTTTTATCATTATAATATTTTTGCTGTTTTGGGGCTGAATCGTTGGCAATTCTTGTGCATTTGTCAGCCGCAACGGAATTGAAACGTTTGCGCTTTTATTGCCGCGGACGTGTGTCGGTTAGCCCGGCAGGGGGTGGACAGGATAACTAGCAGGGGATGTCCTTTCCGATGGGAACAAAAAATAAAGGAGCCAAAGTCAACTCGAAATATGAAATGGATAGTGTGTCGAGCACGAGCAGGAAGTAATAAACAACAAATGCGAAGCCATATCATAATATTGATCTAGCGCTCGCATTACACAAGCCAACAAACAGAGTAACATCTTATGTAAATGGTTAGAGTTGAGACTATGTTGCTATATAAGAGCTCGATTAATCTAAGGGCTTGCTAATATATGAAATATGTATGGGAAACGAAATTCATCCGCTTAAGAGCGAGATTTTTTATATAAAATTAAGCTTATTAAAATTGAATAGAAAAATAATAAAGCTGTGGCATGCCTCTTCGAATTGCCTAAATAAAT